CCCCCATTCCAAAATTCTTAATCACATACATCCAATCTCTTTTGCCAAGTAAGAGAACATATTTACAGGGTTTTGTTTTTGTTTTTAGTGGGGAAGGATATTCTGTCTACCATACCTAACAGACATTCCCTAGAGAGATACACTCTCTGGAGCACAACCTCAAATATGATCAGAATGGTGACATCTGGGGTTGTAGAATACAGCAGACTTGCCCTGTCTTTTAACTGTTAGTCTCAAAAGTGTTCATTCTTCTAAATAATGTAATGGAGATCCTAAACTATTTTTCTCCAAAGGACCCTTTTACTAATCCTTCCATGCTCAAGACCTATCATCTACTACTCACAGACTTTCTGATATGCTTCAAATAATTACGCCACTGTACTAAATTAAGCCATCCAAACAAAAAAGAAATATACTTGAAAAATCACTCTGTTTAATCATTCTTAAGTAAATCACAATTTGTTAGGCCATCTGAAATAATGAAAATAATTCAGACTTTCATCTGGCCACTGCTGCAGATGAACTAACTTATCAGTGAATAGATGGAGATTGGTTGATGCAAAGCTTAGTGCTAAAACAAAAAAATTACTTGTGATGTTAACACATCTTTTCAAAAACTATTTTCAAGTCAATTTTAAAAGTTAGGAATATTTATTTCAGATTCAATATTTATCATTTTATCTATGAAGAAATTGTTTTCAGTCATATCTGAATGTTAAAACTATATTCATTAAGTTTGGATATAAAGGCAAGAATTCAGTGTAAGGTTTTGTTTAAAGATTTATAAAAATAGTTTAAGAAACCATCAGAGGCATTAGGAATAGAGGGAAAAATAGAGGAAAAGATGCCAGGAGTATAATTATAGGCACAGAGAAGTAATGAGAAAGGCACAGAAATACACGTATTTATATGCTAAAACAGTTGTCTGAAGTGCTCAGTGACTGGTTGCTAACTGTACTTAATCTACAGAAAAGACTACGGCTACAGTATTTTCATTAGTCTTGGATCACTTGAACTCCATATAGCTTATTTATTTATTTTTAGCATTATCAAAACAAATTGCTTAACCCATTGATGAACGGTCTTCCTTATGCACATAACACCCTGTGGGAGCTTGAAATGTTGATTGCCTCTTATGAGGGAGTAATTGACATATTAAATTCCTCCAGTTTAACTGGAATTCACTTTTAAACAAGAATTTAATACCAAAGATAACTTTTAAAACCCGCAATAGTAACAATTTTACTCGTTTTAAGACTTATTGCTTTTACACATTTATCCTTCTCTGGAGGTGGAAGGAGACCCAGAAATGATATTCCTGACCTAATTGTGATAAAAATGACCCAACACTGCAAAAGTGGGTCAGCATTTTATCATTTACAAATCTAGGTCAGGCCAGCATTTTCTAACTAGTTTCTACTTGTTAACTTATACGTATCACTATTATCTTTTAAAATGGGAAACATGGAAATGCAGAGATAAATGAAGCCTGTATATAAATGTGCAAACAGCAAACACCCCCCCACCCCACTTGCCCAAGATAAGTCACTATTTCCATTCACACAGAATTATTGATGTTTTCTTTTGGTGTTACTAGCATCTGAGTTCAACCTTTGTTGCTTACTATAAGGGAGCACTGAAATTATACCTGATATGCAAATCAGGTATATGATTTACCAGGTATGGTTTAATTTGAAACCAAGAAACTAGGATTGCTTAATGTTTTGATGTTGAAAACCTGTCTCAGTATCAGTGGCCATTAAACATTTGCATTATTTAGGAAATAATCCAGTATATAAATTTGCCTTGAATAAATCTGCACCTCTACATATCAGTCTAATTTCACTTATAAAAGGAGAAGCTGGACGAAATAGTCATTTGATCTTACTGGTCTTGTCTAAAAAATGTAGAGACCTTTTCTACTTACACTTTCCACTTAAAATTAAGAACTTTCAAGGCTATGAGGAAAGCTGTAGCCCAGAGTAGAAGTAACTCAGTTCTGTTCTCCACTGGCAACGTAGGTGGTCATTTGTACTTACTTTCATCTCATTGTCATGGTACGTATAATGCATTTGCTATGTTTCTGTGGCTTAGTTTCAGAACGATTTTATAGATACCAGAGATCTAAATATAAAGCAACAAGGGGATCAAAGAGTTGATAGGAGAAAGCATACATAGAACTAGGATAAGCAGTGGACTTACAAAAAGCAATAAATACTTGACATGTTCTTGATAATTTGATAAGTCACAAGTATTCCAAAGGACAAAGTGCAAGTCTTATTATGAAGAAAAGTGTTCCGACCATGCAGTCGGGAACGACCAAGACTGATAAATGGGACAAACTTCTTAATATGTGGAGTCAAATGGTATGAAGCCTGGCTGTTCTTTCTTTCTTTATTTATTTTAAATTTTTTTTTTAAATTTACTTATGATAGTCACAGAGAGAGAGAGAGGCAGAGACACAGGCAGAGGGAGAAGCAGCCTCCATGCACTGGGAGCCCGACGTGGGATTTGATACCGGGTCTCCAGGATCGCGCCCTGGGCCAAAGACAGGCGCCAAACCGCTGCGCCACCCAGGGATCCCCTGGCTGTTCTTTAAGAATCACTTGAAGCTTTTAAAAACTATCAGTGCCCAGAAATTTGGACTGAACTGGTTGTGCTCCGAATTTTTTTTTTTTAAAGATTTTATTTATTTATTCATGAGACACGCAGAGGCAGAGGGAGAAGCAGGCTCCAAGCAGGGACCCTGATGCGGGACTCGATCCTGAATCTCCAGGATCACGCCTTGGGCTGAAGACAGGTGCTAAACCACTGAGCCACCCAGGCATCCCTGCATCTAATTTCTTAAAGCTCTTTCCACTACACATGTTGTTTTTCTTTATTGTAGCAGACAACACATGGAATTTACTGATTTAATAATCTCCCCCAGTGGACTATGAAGTCCTTAAAGGCACTGAGCATCTTTTACATGACTCTGTTTCCCTAGACGTGTAAAGTCTCTCTAGTTGCCATTAAAAGACCTGGTCTGTACTTTGGAAAACTCCAGCAAGAGAGGGAAGAAATATACGCAACAATGTATTGCTGTTTTTTTGTGGTTAAGAGCTATGCTGGAGGGACTCTGGAATTGTTGTATACATGAAAAGAGACTCAGAAGAAAATAGAAGGGCAGGGAAGGATTTCTGGGAAGAGGTTACCCTTAAAAAAATAAAATAAAAAAAAGAATAAGTCTTTCTTCTTTTTTAATTGAAAGAAGAACCACAATTCTCTAAGTTAAATAACAGTTCGCTAATGACACTACTGAGAGGAAGTGTACTGATCCAATTGTGCGGTAGGCAGGCAAAGGAGCTGGAGCATATTCTGGGCTAAGGAAGGCATAAAATGCCAGCAAACTGCCATTTCCTCTGTTAAGTGGTAAAGTTCTCCAGCAAAGACAGTTTTCTATGCCCCATCTAGAACCAAAGCAGATGGGGGAAAGCAAGATACGATGAGTTTTCGATTAAACGTCTAAGTGTTTAGTGTTGGTATGGAGTTCTGCGGGAACTTCTAGAAACAGAAGCTGGGTAACTTCCACCTCACAAGAGCTTTTCCCTGGCGGGGTTGGTCATGGTTGCTTTCGATACTGTGATCAAAGATCCCCATCCTTGGGGATCCCTGGGTGGCTCCGCGGTTGAGCGTCTGCCTTAGGCCCAGGGCGTGATCCTGGAGTCCCGGGATCGAGTCTCACGTCGGGCTCCCTGCATGGAGCCTGCTTCTCCTTTCTGCCTGTGTCTCTGCCTCTCTTTAGGTCTATCATTCATTCATTCATTCAGAAATAAATAAATACATAAAATAAAATAAATCTTTAAAAAAAAGATCCGCATCCTTCCCCCAGAAACATGCTCATCAGTGCAACATTCGGCCTGTAGATGTGGTGGATTCACCCGGTGTAGAGGCCGCTGGCGTGTCCCCGGGCCTTCAGACACAACTTGGGAGGTTCCACTACTCCTGATACCGCATCTGTCCTCGAGGCCGGGCACCATTTGCCTCTTTTTTTTTTTTTTCTTCTTCTTTTTTTCTTCCCCCCTGCCTGGAGATGTATGCATTTCTTTTGAAGACTTTTCACGACTCGTTTTAAATTTTCCTAAGAGGCCCCAGCTACCCAAGGAATCTGCAGTGACACAACATCATACACCCACCCCTAAGCCTGGGCGGGGAAGGCCAGACCCCACCAGCACGTTCCTAGAAGGAAAACCCCCTCTGCAAGCAAAGATCGCCGACCGGGGGCCTGAGAGGTCCCCGACTCAACAGACAAAACTGGGGCGGAGGGGCGTGCAGCTCGGGGTTTCCTGGGCCGCCACGCAGCCCCTGCGCCAGGCCCGGGACGAGCGCGATCCCGAGGCCTCCACGCCTCCCCAGGGTCAGGGCCCACACCGAGTCTTCTGCAAACCACAGCGTTAAGGCAACCTGCGCGTTTCCTCGAAACAAATGAGAAAGGGGGGCCGTGCGGGAGGCGCCGGCACCTGCCACCGCGGGGCCTCTCGGGCGCGGGGGCACCACACGGCTCCCGGGCCTGAGCGCCTCCGAGCCCGGCGGGGTCGGGCCAGGGACGGGGCTCCCCGCCCTCCCTCCAGCCCTGGCTCGCGCCCGCGGCCCCTTCGCGAGGCTCGGCGGCGACCCCCCCAGCCCCCGGTCTTACCATAGTGAGGCCGGCGGAGCCCCAGCCACATCACCCTTCCGGGCCCCGGGCGGAAGAGGCGTGCGCCCCCGCCCCCCGCCGGCCCTCACCCCCCTCCTCTCCGCCCCGCGTCCGGTTGGGCCGGTCGCGGCACGTCCTCCAGAGCCGCGCCACTCGGACGCCGCGATAGGCTCCTCACTGCCGGAAGGGGCGGGACTTAACAGACGTCACGCGCCGCGCGGACGTGAGCGGAGCTCCCATTGGCCGCCGCGGGCCGTCTGCAGGCGCGGGCCTTTCGGAGGAGGCCGGAAGTGGGGGAGCTGCGAGGTAAGGTCCGGAAGTGGGAGATGCGTGTTTCAGGGATAGGAATCTGCCGTCCTGGCCTCTTTTTGGGGTCTTGCTTCCCCCTCCCCCCCCTTTTTTTTTGACTTCGGGGTCCTAGAACTCCTCAGTGCGCGAGGTTTGCCAGCTCGGGGGAGCTCCGGGGGAGGCCTGGTTCCCCCGACCTGGGCGCACGCTGGGCACCTACCTCAGCGTCTCCCTTCGCGCCTGGCTCAGGCTGCGGAGCGCCTCTGAGGGGCGCTGTCGTGGTCGTGACGCTGGGAAGGCGCTGGACGCCGGGGCTGTGACACCCTGACGCCGGCCTCCTTGCCCTCGGCGCCCTCGCTCCTTGTAAGCTGTCCCTGGGTTTGCGCTGGGGCCCGGAGTGTGCGGGGCCTTGGGGTAAGGAAGGGCCGTGGCGACCAGTGGAGCTGCCCTCGCTGACCTCAGTAGGCCCGTAGGTATCCGGAGGAGGGGTCCACCAGCGACAGGAACCGCAGGCCAGCTTCCTCTTCTTTTCTTTTCTTTTTTTTTATATTTAATTTATTTATTCATGACAGACACAGAGAGGGGCAGAGGGAGAAGCAGGCTCTACGCAGGGGGCCCGACGCGGGACTCGATCCCGGGACCCGGGTCACGCCCTGGGCCGCAGGCGGGCCCTCTACTGCTGAGCCACCCCGGCTGCCCCTCAGCTTCCTCTTTTAATCAGTTATTATTACTATTAGTATTAGTATTTAGCTTCTTTTAGTGTTGATGATCCCACTGGATGAGGCTTCATATTCCAGCCGCTCTGTCTTTGCAGAGACCGAATGGAGCAGCAGGTGCTCTGACGCGTCCATTTCGCACATTTCTTGGGCCTCCCTGGAAGGCTTTTGGATCAAAGTGGCATCGTTTTTTTTTTTTTTTTTTAAATCACCGGTCCGCCTCCCGCCTCCCCCACCCCCCCCTTTTTTTTTACTTTGCAGCTAGTGTTGATGGGTTCGTTCTTTTTCTTTTTTTCTTTCTTTCTTTTTTTTTTTTTAATTCACTAGTGGTCACATACATTAAAAGGCAGTGGTTTTACTTAACCGCTTGTTTTCTGTGCTCCTCAACTAGCCTCCGTAGTTGAAGTTAGGTCTTCGTGTTCTGGTGTTTGCCCTTCGCCGCCCTCTTTTTTTATATTCTTTCTCCGTGGCGTTTAGATTATGACCCATGTTTGACCTGCATGGTATTTCTCTTTAAGGAGTACTTCTCTCTCTCATTTTAAAGATCTTACTTGTTCATTTGGCAGAGCGAGCACAAGCAGGGGGAGAGGGAGGCACCCCGCAAAGCCCGTTGTGGGGTGTGATCCTAGGACCCTGGGACTTGAGCCTCCCAGGCTCCCGAGAAATGCTTCTCCTAACCTTTCTCCACTTTTTTTTCCTTAAGAATTTATTTATTCATGAGAGACACAGAGACAGAGAGACGCAGAGACACAGGCAGAGGGAGAAGCAGGCTCCATGCAGGGAGCCCGACGCGGGACTCGATCCCGAGACTCCAGGATCACCCCCTGGGCCGAAGGCGGCGCTAAACCGCTGAGCCACGCGGGCTGCCCCCTTCCTCCACTTCTGAGCTCGTTCATTGATTGCTCTTCTGAACAAAAATCCTCTCAGGACTTTATGTTCCAAATCCCAGTTCCTCTTTTTCTATTTTCTCTTGAGATCATTCCAGAATGGCTTTTGCTCCCCCCTCCCCCCATCCTTTACTTAGTGTCACCAGCTGTCTCCAGGTGTTGATTATTCCCAGTCTTTGCGGTATTTGAGCCATTAGTAACCTTTTACACAGTTATCACTTCCTTGTCCATGTTGTATTTTCTTCACTGATTTCCAGGACATTGCACTCTCTTGATTTTCCTTCTGTCACCGTCTTCCTTCTATTCTTTCTGATCTCTCATTGTTGAAGTGTTCCAGGGCTCAATCTTTGCTGCTTTTCCTCTTTCTACACTTCCTTTTGAGGATATCATCAAGTCTTAATGACTTTTTAAAATATATTTTTTAAAGATTTTATTTATTTATTTATTCATGAGAGACACAGAAAGAGGCAGAGACATAGGCAGAGAGAGAAGCAGGCTCCATGCAAGGAGCCCAATGTAGGACTCGATCCCAGGACCCCGGGTCATGATCTGAGCCAAAGGCAGATGCTCAGCCTCTGAGCCACCCAGGTGCCCCATGAATCATTTTATACAAAGTATTAATACAGGATAGCACATTATTCTTAAAAGGAAAATGGCCTCTTAGTTCCCTCTCTGACCTCCAGACTCACATTTACATTTGCCTACCTCTGCATCTGCATTTGTTTATTTAAAGTAATTGCAAACTCATATGGCACAAACTGAACTCCTTTTTCCCCAAACCTGTCCCATTCTTTTTCATCTCAGATGCTGGCTGCTCTATTCAGCCAGTTGCTCAAAGCTAAGTGTTCGGAGTCATTCTTGACTCTACTTTCTCTTATATTCCACCAAATCCATCAGCAAATCCATTGTTGACACTCTCCATAAAATATATATAGAATTTAACCGTTTGCTACTATTTCTGCTGTTAGTACATTGATCCTCTGTTTCTGGGATGTCTGTTTTAACTCTTATGATTTCTTGCTTGGATTAACAGTAATAGGGTTCCAGCTGGTCTCCTTAACTTTCTTCAGTCCTTGCTTCTGTACAATCTATTTTCACACAATAGCCAGAATGATACTTTTTAAATGCAAGTAAGAAATTGTATTAAGAGGTAAGATTCTAAATGTGACGGATTATCCTAGATTGCATCCTGGAACAGATAAAAGATATTACAGGAAAAAAATGGTAAAATCCAAGTAAGTAGCCTGGAGTTTAGTTAGTAGTGATGCACCAATGTTTGTTCCTTTGTTTTGGTAAATGCACTGCAGTAATATAAGATGTTAATGTTAGAGGAAACTGGGTGAGGTGTAAATGGGAGCTGTGTTATCTTTGCAGCTTTCCCATACATTCAGTATTCCTCCCAAATAAAAAGTTTATTAGGAATATAAATTACTTATTTGCTTTAAGACCTTTTATGACTTCTCACTTCTCACTTGATTCACGATAAAAGCTAACATCCTGACTTTGGCCTACAAAACTCTATGTGATCTGGTTTCCTGTTACCTCCCTGACTTCTGTCCTTTGTGTTCTCTTTCCTCTCACTCTGTCCCAGCCATACTGGCTGCCTTGTTTCTTAAATACACTAAGCCCACTTCTGCCTTAGGGCCTTTGCACTGGCTGCTTCATCTGCTTGGAATGCTTTTTCCTAGACATCCACACAACTAAATCTTTCACCTCCTTGATGTATGTGCTCAGATACCACCTTTTCAATAAAGCCTACCTTAACGTCCTATTTAAAATTGTAGCTTTGCAACTATCCCCCTCCCGTCACTGGCCTCTGTATTCCCAGTTTTCTCTATCCTGTTTTATCTTCTCCTTTTACCATAGCACGTATCACCATACTATATATTTTACATATTTGTTATGTGTTTTTTTCATCATTGGTCTATTAAAATACAAATTTTAAAAAGGAAAGAATTGTTATTTGTTTTGTTTCCTTATGTCAAGTTCTAAAGCACTGTCTGATGCATAGAAGGGCACAGGTTTTGGTTGAATGAAGTTGGCTAAGTATTTGAATTTAGTCATCCTTGATTCACAGTCATTGTGAAACACTGAATTGTTTATCATTTCCAGATTTGCTGTTTCTTGCCTCTTAAGCCTTTGCTCATGCAGATTCTTTTTATTTTGTTTATTTTATTTATTCATGAGAGACAGAGAGAAAGAAAGACACAAGCAGAGGGAGAAGCAAGCTCCGTGCAGGGAGCCCGACACAGGACCTGATCCCGGGACCCCAGAATCATGCCCTGAGCCAAAGGCTCAGCACTCAAACACTGAGCAACACAGGCTGCCCCAACTCATCCAGGTTCTTCTGCATTTTCTATCTCTCCTTTTCACATTTTAAGATTCATATCAGGTATAACTCAAGGAAGCCTTCCCCGAAATATCAGGCTGGCTTACATGTACTCCTCACAGGAGGTACCACCCTGCCTCTGCACTTGACAAGCATATGAGATAATTATTTTTGGGTATTTTCATCTCACTAGAGAGCTGGAAATGTGTCTTACTCATTCTGGGGATATCAAAGCCTGGTACATAGAAAGCAGCCAGTGAATGTTTTAGTACACTGATGGCATGACCAAAGTCACTCCGCTATGAAGTGGTAGAGTTTTGATTTCAAGCTGAATCTTCTGAGTCTAAAATCAATGGTCTATTTGCTATACCTTGTTTTCTAGGGAAAAGGTGGCTGTGCTTAAAATAGTAGGATAGTTTTTGTACAGGTAGGAGGTAATCATTTTATAGTCCAGGGCAATTTGTTCCTCATCATTTGTGAAGCTGGCAGTGCTGAAGAGAACGTGAGTTGTGCTTTTTTTTTTTCCTAAGACATTGGCTGAAAAAGATGAATAGTCAGGAGTTTTCAATGTTGATGAGACTCTTTGGGAGAACACCATTTGATTTCTATTGCCTCAAAGGAGAAATCCATGCTGTAATTCCAAACTGCTCATGAGGCATCCATGCTTTTGCTAGATGATAGTACTACCATTAGCTTTAAATTAAACCTTTGGTTGTATGCCATTGAGAAATCCCGGGCTGTTTTCAAGATATTGCAAAGATTTTTCTCACAATGATATGGAAATTTATTATTAAGGTTAAGTTAAAGATAATTAGTTTGTTATATAATTTCTGATACTCGGCACAAAAATTAGGTAAACTAATTTTGCATTTAAAACACTGTTTATTAGCCGGCCTAATCTTGTATGTGGTGGAAGGGTTATTTCTTTATTTTGTCAATACTGTATTTGAGGAACAGAAAATTAAAATAAATAAATAAATAAATAAATAAAAAAAAAAACTGCTTAGGGGATCTCTGGGTGGCTCAGTGATTTAGCGCCTGCCTTCTGCCCAGGGCGTGATCCTGGAGACCCGGGATCGAGTCCCACGTTGGGCTCCCTGCACAGAGCCTGCTTCTCCCTCTGCCTGGGTCTCTGCCTGTCTCTCTGTGTATGTGTGTGTGTGTGTGTGTGTGTGTGTGTGTGTGTGTGTGTCTCATGAATAAATAAATAAAATCTTAAAAAAAAATAAAACACTTTAATCATAGATAATGAACTAGACTTCTAGCTACCTTTTATGGTAAGCATTCTGAATTTGAACTATACTCTGAATTTGAACTATACACTGAATATTATCATCACTGATGTAGTCCATAAACCAATCTTTTTGTAATGTTGAATAGCCTTTAAGACTAAAAGAAAAGGAAATAATTTAACCCTATAAATTCTGAAAATGCTTCAGCAGCTTTCAACCCCAGCAGTGGGGTTGAAAGTGATGATTAGGCTTGGGATTAAGTAATCAAAAACAACTATTTCTAAATTTGTGCCTTATTTCTTTGA